TAATATAGTTGATATAATAATATATATTTATATTTGTTGGAAACTGAATGCTACGATAGCTAGCGCCACACTGGCCTTATCATCATCACTACAGTTTGTTTACTTCTTCTCTATATTATAAATGTGTTTGCTACTATAACTTGTTTTCCTACTATATAAATGGATAATAAAGATTATTATTATATAATCATCAACGTCCTCATGCCTTCATACAAGTTGTAAGTGCCTAAATCTTACAACAATTAGATTATGAGACTGAATATTGCATGAAATTCAACTAACGAGTTAAGACAAAGAAAAAAGGCTTAGCAAAAATGGCGTCACTCCCGAGCCACGATGTAACCCTAGATAAGCTCGACGGCTATAACTACTCACTATGGTCTTTTAAAATTGAAATGCTCTTGCAAAAGGAAGATCTTTGGGAAGTTGTCACCGAAAATATTCCAGATGAACCTAAAATCGAATGGAAAAAGAAAGACTCAAAAGCTAGAGCTATCATTAATCTAAGCATTGCCGACTCACAAATAGTGCATGTCAAAAACCTACTAACAGCCAAAGCTACCTGGGACACTGTTAAAAATATCTATGAAAGAAAAACACTCTCAGAAAAAAAATATTTGCTAAGGAAACTATACAGCTTAAAACTCGAAGAAGACAAAGACATGCAACAGCACATCACTACCATGATAGAACTAGTTGACAAACTGCGAACCATTGGCGAAACACTAAAGGACTCTCACATCACAGCTATACTGCTTTGCTCGCTTCCAAAGAGCTACTCCAATCTCATCACGATGTTGGAATCAAGGCCTGATGACGAGCTAACGCTTGAATTCACCAAGAACAAACTCCTTGATGAACACACACGCAGAGTAGAAAGCTCGAAAGACGAAAGCACTGAATCAAAAGCCTTAAAAAGCCTCCACAGAGCTTCAAGCCAAAGAAGAGAAAAAGAGAAGAAATTCTGTTCTTTCTGCCACAAACCAAACCACTCCAAGGAAGAATGTTGGCACTATCAAAAGCGAAACAACAGCAACAAAGAGTACAAATATGAAAACTTCAGAAGAGGAAACGTACCAAAGTACACAAATCAGTCGAGTTTCACCCAAGAACAACCAACAAATCATAGAACAACAAAAACCTAACCCAAAAGCTCTCAATTGCACTCAACGAGAAGCAAGTGTACACAACTGGTTCGTCGACTCTGGAGCCACATCTCATATGGCGTATGATGAAAGCTTCTTCACTGAACTTAACAGAGAACAAACAGAAAATGTTGTGGTTGCTAATGGCAATAAGCTGCAGGTCAAAGGGATAGGACAAGGAGAAATCAAAGTCATCACACCCCAAGGAAAGACTGACACCTTACTTCTCACAAAAGTTCTCTACATCCCGGAACTATCAGACAACCTTCTGTCAGTGAGTGCGGCCACCTCCAACGAATGTAAAGTAATGTTCAAAAGAGATTGGTGTACCATCGAAAGAGACAACACAGCCCTCGCGAACGGTATACTTGACAATGGAATATACCGACTCCACCTGGATGACAACCTCCAAACTCGCACATTCAAAGCAAATGTAGCAAAACAAAACCACTGCAAGAACACAAATTGCCTCATGCTCTGGCACGACAGACTAGGACACAGAAATATAGAATCAATTAAGAAAATTCAAAATGAGAACCTAGCAAGAGGACTAAGTCTAAATAACTGTTCGCACAGCCCAGACTGCGGTCAGTGCATTCAAGGAAAACTCACTGAAACCCCATTTCCAGAGAAGACAGAGTACAGAGCAACTGAAACGCTTCAACTTGTCCACAGTGATGTCTGCGGTCCATTACCAACTAACTCTCTTAGCGGTAAGAGATACTTCATCACCTTCACCGATGACTACAGCCAGCAGATACACGAAGATCTACCTCCTGAAAGGAAAAGACGAAGTCTATGAAAAAATAAAAGACTACGTCATCTCAGCACACACGGAATTTGGAAAAAATATCCAAACCATACGGACAGACAGACAACGGTCATGAGGAGTACGTAAACCGACAAGTCGAAGATTTCCTGAACCAAAGCAGAATCAAACATCAGCTAACAGTCCCCTACTCACCAGCCCAGAACGGAGTAGCCGAAAGGAAAAATCGATCACTAATGGAGATGACAAGATGCATGCTGTTTGACTCAGGACTCCCACAGTCTCTATGGGCGGAAGCGGTTACCACAGCTAATTACCTACACAACCGAATACCCTCGAAAGCTACAGACAAGTCTCCATTTGAACTATGGACCAACAGGAAGCCCAGTCTGAAGCATCTAAAAAGATTCGGATGTAAAGCCTTCACCTATATTCCCAAGATAAAAAGAAACGAGTTGGATAGCAAAGTTATCGAAGGGATCTTTCTTGGATACGATGGATCAGATCCGTAAAATTTCTAGAAAAAGAAAATGGGTTTCACCACGCTTCCACAAAAACAACTTCACCACAATTACTATGTACAGATCTAACTTCCTCTAATTATATTGGAAATGCAGAGGAAAGTCAGGAACCAGGAACACAATCCGAAAACCTTGAGGACTCAGAAACCGAGGATTACATTCAACCCGGTACAAGCACAGGAACACAAGTGGTCACACAATGAAGATCCACGAGACCAACAAAGGGAATAAATAAGAAATGACTACATGCTGTACAAAACTGAAGCTCAAGACATTCAGACACCCACCAGCTACTCGGAAGTCCCACAACTACCAAAAATAGAAAGAGAAAAATGGCTACAAGCAATGAACGAAGAACTAAATTCTCTTGAGAAAAACAATGTCTGGGAACTAACGCCTCTGCCTAAGGACAAAAAGATCATAGGATGTAAATGGACCTATAAACAGAAACTCAATTCCAAAGGAGAAATAGAGCGGTACAAAGCCAGACTCGTAGCAAAGGGTTCAATCAGAAATTTGGCCGAGACTACGAAGAAACCTTTGCACCAATTGTGAAGCATTCTACAATTAGAGCCTTCCTAGCTGCATCAGTCTACAAAGGGATGCAAGTTAACCACCTCGATGTCAAGACAGCGTTCCTACACGGCGACCTAGATAAAGAACTCTACATGGAACTCCCAGAAGGACTCCATACAAAACAAACAAACGAAGTCTGAAAACTAAAGAAGGCAATTTACGGTCTAAAACAAGCCGGAAGATCTTGGAACACAAAAATCGCAAGCACTCTAATTAAAAATAACTTCAAACAGAGCATTGTAGACCCATGCCTATTCACCAAGAATGAAGAAAACCATTCCATCTACTTGATTCTATATGTGGATGACATGCTCCTTGCAAGCGATTCCGAAATAATCATCCAAAACACTGTAAAAACTTTCGGGAAAAAGAATTCGAAATAAAGAACCTTGGAGACCCCACTCAATTCATTGGTATAGAAATCTCAAGGAACAGAGAAGGTGAACTTCTTCTGAGCCAAAAGAATAAAATCCAAGAATTAGTTGAAAGGTACAACCTCCAAGAAGCGAAACCTACTTTCACTCCCATGGAAAGTGGATACCCGGTATATCTGATGTAAAACTTCTACCAAACAACGTCCAATACCAACAACTGATAGGCTCACTATTGTACCTAAGCGTAGTATCCAGACCGGATATCGCAGCTCCAGTCTGCATACTCAGCAGCAGAAACCAGAATCCTAGAAATTGTGACTGGAATGCAGCAAAAAGAATCGTAAGATATCTAAAAACTACTAAAGAACTCGAGCTACGCTTATCTAACCAAAAACCTCCCACACTGGGAGCATACAGTGATGCCACATGGGCAAGCGACAACACCGACAGAAAATCACTAAGCGGAAACTTGTTCCTACTGGGATCAAACCCCATCTCATGGATGACTGGGAAACAAGGTTGCGTATCTCTCTCATCCACCGAAGCGGAACTAATCTCCGCAGCTGAAGCCTCACAAGAAGTGTTGTGGCTCCTCGACTTGCTAAAGGATCTCGAACTGGAACAGAAAGCTCCAATCTACTTCCACCAAGACATTCAATCATGTCTCAAGATATGTTCATCCGAAAAATTGTCTTCTAGAACCAAGCACATCGCAACCAAGATCCATCACCTGAAGGATCTTCAGAAGAAGACAGTGATAAAAGTGATCTACTGCCCGACAGGCGACATGAAGGCGGACATACTGACCAAGCCGCTACCAAGGCCGACATTTGAGAAGTTACGCAACAACCTCGTGACGTCTCCACATTCATGCGGGGATTGTTGGAAACTGAATGCTACGATAGCTAGCGCCACACTGGCCTTATCATCATCACTACAGTTTGTTTACTTCTTCTCTATATTATAAATGTGTTCGCTACTATAACTTGTTTTTCTACTAAATGGATAATAAAGATTATTATTATATAATCATCAACGTCCTCATGCCTTCATACAAGCTGTAAGTACCTAAATCTTACAACAATATTATCTATATATATATATATAAATGAATGTATGTGTGTGTCCTTTATGCCTGACCAAACCACTCATTGGAACGCCATGAAACTTTGGGAAGTTATTTAGTATAGTACTGGGAAGGTTTCTAGCAAATAAAATTTTTGAAATAACTTTTCGCCTAAAAATAATAAAGATAAATATTCTAATTTATCTGTTATAATTCAACAATCTGCTCTAAATATTATCATGATGATACGATGATTTTGTAATGTAGAAAATTAGGAAAGACAAAATTCAGGATGACACAGCAATTTATTTGAGACAAGAATAATGATACAATTCCAAGGCAAGATACTATTCCTTTAACTTCCAATTACCGAGGGAACCAATTAATATTGATTTTATTCAACTTATCGAGTATTTTTCAAGGGACCGGGGAAAATGTTCACTTTATCGAGAGATTCGTTAGACAAACCTTTACTTGGGTAAAACCTGGGCGAAGCCGGGTACATCCGCTAGTATATAATATAAATGAGTTTTAAAAATTGCAAAAAAATGCATCTCCCGGGAATCGAACCCGGGCCGCCCGCCCGCGTGGCAGGCGAGCATTCTACCACTGAACCACTGATGCTTATAAAAAACTAGACGAATGGCCCGGGCAACGCCCGGGTTTTACCCGAGTGCGTATATATTTTTAAAATGTTTTAATTAAAATACTATTCGTTACAATTATAAATTGGCGCCGTGGATGTCTCTCTTGTGAAACGTCCCGCCCCAAACTGTGTGTGTCTTGAAAATATAAAAATAAAAATGTGAACGGAAAAATATGTCCAGGGTAGCCTAGTGGTCATGGCATCTGCCCGGTAAGCGGAAGGTCGTGGGTTCGATTCCCATCCCTTGACACTTTTTTTATTTTATCCATTCTGACCAAAATCTATCCGTGAACTTCACACAGTGAACTTCACACAGAGAGAATAAGGCAATTATATAAGTAGATAATCCAAATTGTGCCTTATCACACACTATTTTTTTATTTGGCCTTATTACCTTGTGTTTATAATCTATGACGTAATGCCGGCGGCGCGCGCCCGTTGGCTGCCGGCGAGCACGTGACCTCCCTGTGCGCGCGCATCCGTGACAGAACCGGCCGGCCGGCCCATGACGGTCGTGACTATATATGTTGATAATGGATGGATAATAATAATAATATAATAATAATAATAATAATAATTATTATTATTATTATTATCATTAGATAATGATAATGATCATAATGATGATGCGCGCGCATCCGTGACAGAACCCATGACGGTCGTGACTATATATGTTGATGGCCATATTTGGGTATTCATTCCATTCCGGATTACTCCGCGTAAAAAAAGTTCTTCAAATTAAAAAAAGAAATAGCCAAAAATACTAATCAAAATGTAGCCGAAAATTTTCCTCAGGTTTATAAAAAGCGACATGCAAAATTTGGTACCAATTGGTTCAGTAGTTTTTGAGTTTATCGCGAAACAGACAGACATTGACTTTTATATATATACTAGCGGATGTGCACCCGGCTTCGCCCGGGACCGAGTGAAAGTTTGCCTAACGAATATTATTGATAATAATATTCAGGAACACACAGAATATTATGATAATATAATTCGTTATGTCATATATTTATATAATATATGAAATTTAATTTTCGAGCAAACATATCCACTCTCTACTGAATAGATTTTTAAAAAGATATACATAAATAAAAATATCTCGAGATATACTACACGATCTTAGCCAAAAGGCCGAGAAACGATATTTTATATATAGAGATGACCTGGCTTCGTGTGTCTTCTGCTCGAGTGAATGTTTCGCTAGTAGAATTTTATTCCTGCCTACTATTAATCATTATCTGGCTTTACCTGTGGTCTGCTTTAGTGAATATTCCCCAAAAGAATTTTTTAATGCAATCAAGCATGATACGGAAATATCGTCATCATCATTTCTGACTAAAAAAATATTGTTGCTCAGCACTTGGTTAAATATAATTTTTATTGGTAAAGTGCAACAAAAAACTTCCAGATTTAACTCTCTGTCCTGTTCAAATTTCAGGGAGATTAGTTACATATTTAGGGCGTGCATAGCCGACAAACATATTGTTACATCACGATTAATGGCGTATTTCTTATATTATTTTTAATATATTTGAAATTTAAATTATATATTTATTTATTTTTATATAAAATATTCTATGATATTTATTTAAACCAGATTATTTAGATTATCATCATTTGTATTTAGGTACACGTGTGACTTCACTGCTCTCTTTGATGTGAGAAAATAAATAAATTATTCTGGAGGCTACTAAAAGTAGACTTATCTCATTATTCCCTTTTATAAATTTGTAGGATGGTTGAAACACGCTCTGGTAAGATGCAAGACACGTCTGAGGAGAGAATCAAGGCCGAAGAGTCTGCCAAGCCGCAATTTGGTGCAACAATTGGTAGAGATGCTCGTTCCGACCCAGTTGTCCTGAATCCCAACATCGACATCCCCAAGTATGATGGAACGGAAGACCCTCGCCCATGGATTGAATCTCTTGAAGAAATTGGCTTCCTGTACCATTGGGCAGACTACATTATCTCTCGTTATGCTGCCATGAATATGATTGGTAGCGCCAAAACCTGGCTGAACCTACACAAGATAAGTTTCACCAGCTGGGAAAATTTCAAGAGCCGCCTAATTGAGGATTTTGCCTCAGACGCCAACAAAGAAGAAATGAAGATGAGACTAAACAGGATGCAACAGTGGAATGAACCTGCAATCAGGTTCGCAGAGGATATCCTTGTACTGTGCAACAAGGTCGACCCCCAAATGGAAGAAGAGACTAAAATAAACTGGGTTATTGGAGGGTTAAAGAAATAATACTCTTTTGCCCTTCACCTAAACCCTCCTAAAAATACCAATGAACTTCTAGAAATTTGTAAAAAGCTTGATTTGTTCGAAAAGAATTACCAAGAACGTGCAGAAAAATCAAGAGCTCTATATATTGGACCACGCTCTCCTCGTCCCCATCATCAAGAGCAATGGAAGAATGCTACGTCGTTCAGAAGACCATATCAGAACACCTCCAAGCCCCAGGCCCCCGCTCCGAGGTACTACCAGAACACCTCCAAGCCCCAGGCCCCCACTCCGAGGTACTACCAGAACAAGCCTCTGCCCCAGGTATCTGCCCCTAGACGATCTTACACTCCCAATCCTGAGCCAAAACCGGTCTACCCAAGTAAAACATACAATAAGAATCCAAATTCAAATAGGAATAGGACAGAAGACGGGAGACCAATATGTTTCAAGTGTAACAAGCCAGGACACGTAGCGCGGTATTGCAGAGTCAAGTTTGTGAGGATCGTAGAAGAGGACCCCTCAGTTTCCCAAGACAAGAGTCAAGAAAATCTTCAAATGGACGAAAGAAAATATTATACACGGCCTCGCCTCTATGCGGATGTTTGTAATGACACACAAACGAATATTCCTACACGGAATAGATATTCCGTGTTGGAAGATTTAGACTAAGTGTCGCGCCTGATTCCTTCAATCAAAGCAAGTCGACCATAAATGGAATTAGAAAGTTGGACCCTAGATACAAAATTAATATTAATGTGGACAAGATAGGGTTATGCGAAGCTTTGATTGATACAGGCGCCGATCTTTCAGTGGTCGACCTAAGGACAGCACTTTTTGCTGGCCGTGAAATAAATAGTCTCACTAAAACATGTTCAGGACCCGATGGGAAAAAAATAGATATGGTAGGTAGCATTATTTTAGATTTAAAAATTGATGACACTGAATTATCCCACGAATTTGTAGTAATGGACGCGCATCTACGAACTCTTATTCTTGGACGAGATTTCCTTAAAAAATGAATGCTAAAATTGATTGTAAACGAGAAACGATAAAATATAATTTGATGAGTAATCATGACGTAAGCAATTATGATCTAAAAAAAAATAAAGAGCACTACAGATACCGTTATACCTAAACTATCTATTAAATTGATTAGGGCCTCAATAGAAGCAGAGGATGGGGAATATGTCATCGAAGAGAACAACAAAATGACTCAAACAAATGGTCTTCGATTGGCAAGAAGTTTGCTTACTGTCACGGATAAGAAAACTCATATCTGGTTAGCGAACCCTTATCCTCGACCTTTAAAAATCATGAAAGACCAAACATTGGCTTATGGAAGTCTTCCTGCAGAGGTAAATTTTATAGAGAAGCAGAATGAAAATGACGAAATACAATTTCAAATAAACAAAAATTTATCATTTAAAGAACAAGAGAGGTTAAAACAAATTTTGGCCAAGTATACTGATTTGTTCTCATCGAGGTTAGGCAGGACCAATTTGGCAAAACATCAGATTCATACAGAAGACGCAAAACCGATAAAGCACAAGCCTTACAGGGTAAGTGCTAAGGAACGAACCATCATAAAGGATCAAATAGACGAGATGCTTGAAGAAGGAATAATTAGACCATCTTCAAGTCCCTGGTCCTTTCCCGTTATATTGGTCAAAAAACGAGATGGCAAATACAGATTTTGTGTGGATTACAGGAAATTAAATGAAGTAACAGTGAAGGATGTTTATCCAATCCCAAGAATTGATGATGTAATGGATTCTCTCCAAGGATCCAAGTACTTCTCAGCAATAGATCTCAAATCGGGATATTGGCAAGTCGAAATTGAAGAGAGAGACAAAGAGAAGACGGCTTTCACTACGGCACATGGGTTATATGAATTCAACGTGATGCCTTTTGGACTTTGTAACGCGCCTGCTACCTTTGAGAGAAATATGGAGAATATGCTTGGAAATCTGAGATGGCAAATTTGTTTGTGTTATCTGGATGATGTTATCATATATAGCCCGGATTTTCCAACGCACCTCAAAAGACTCGAAGCTGTTTTTAGATGTTTTCGTGAATCTAATTTAAGATTAAACGACAAAAAATGCCGATTTGTTTTTGAAGAATTGGAGATTCTCGGCTATATAACGAGCAAAAATGGTATAAAACCCGCGGAACATAACATCAAAGCTATCAGAAATTTTCCTCGGCCCACAAAGGTCAAAGAAGTACAATCATTTTTGGGAATGTGCTCATATTATAGAAAATTTATCAAAGATTTCTCAAAAATTGCTGACCCTTTGACCAACCTTATTTAAAAAAGTGTATCATTTACCTGGACAGAAAGGCAAGAGGAAGCGTTTCAAACCCTAAAAACAGCACTATTAAGTCCACCAATCTTAGGGCACTTCAATCCAAATGCGCCTACTTATATTCATACTGATGCGTCCAACATCGGCATAGGTGCAACTCTTGTCCAAGATATCGGTGGTGAAGAGAAAGTGATCTCATATTTGAGTCGTACCCTGAGTAAAGCAGAGCAAAATTATTCAACCACTGAAAAAGAATGTCTGGCCGTTGTTTGGTCAATGTCAAAATTACGACCCTACCTTTATGGAAGACACTTTAAAATAGTAACAGACCATCACGCCTTATGCTGGCTCAAAAACTTGAAGGATCCAACAGGTCGATTGGCAAGATGGGCATTGAAAATTCAAGAATATGACTTCGATATAATACATAAATCGG